GTTAGTGGAGAGGACCTAGAGCAGGCGGGCTGTCCGCCTTGCTGACACACTGTACCCTGAAAACGCAGCCTCCATGTTTTAGCGTCCGTGTGTGTGTTTACACTTATAACTACTTTTTGGTGTGGAGAAAGGGAGAAGGGAGAAGAAAGGGGGAAGGAAATGGGAAAAAGAGGTTTAGGAAATGAGGGTGGAAAAGAAACGGGGAGGAGTGGGAAAGGAAAGAAGGGGGTGGGGGGGGGAGCAGAGGGTACTTAAGGGGAGAAGTGGAAAAGGTACGAAGAGAGGAATAAGAGAGACGTTAAGAGAGAGAGAGAGAAGAGCCGGAAGAAAAGAGGAAGAAGATGGGAATGAATAGGGAGGAAAGTAATCAAGAAAAAACTTAAAATGAAGAGAGAGAGAGAGCATCATGCTAACTTTTGTGTGTCATCTTCATACATATATATATATACATACATATATATATATATATATATATATATATATATATATATATATATATATATATATATATATATATATATATATATACATATGATTATATACATATAATCTAGTAAACTTCTTGTAAACAAAAAGATTCTTGAATTCTTTCCCTGGAATACGACCCGCCAAATCGTTTAACAACCAGGTACACCCATTCGCTGCTGGGTGAACAGAGGCAACAGTTCAGGATTGGCACTCGGTCAATCCTCCCCGGCCAGATATATTATATATATATTATGTATACAATACATATTATATATATATATATATATATATATATATATATATATATATATATATATATATATATATATATATATATATATATATATATATATATATATATATATATATAGGCAAATATCCACATAGGAAGAGTTCAACTATTACTATCAAACAGCCCCAAGCCAGCTAGCACTATCACCATCAAACAGCCCCAAGCCAGCTAGCACTACCACTATCAAACAACCCCAAGCCAGCTAGCACTATCACCATCAAACAGCCCCAAGCCAGCCGGCACTATCACCATCAAACAGCCCCAAGCCAGCTGGCACTATCACAATCAAACAGCCCCAAGCCAGCTAGCACTATCACCATCAAACAGCCCCAAGCCACAGCTGGCACTATCACCATCAAACAGCCCCAAGCCAGCAGGCACTACCACCATCAAACAGCCCCAAGCCAGCTGGCACTATCACCATCAAACAGCCCCAAGCCAGCTGGCACTATCACCATCAAACAGCCCCAAGCCAGCTGGCACTATCACCATCAAACAGCCCCAAGCCAGCTAGCACTATCACCATCAAACAGCCCCAAGCCAGCAGGCACTATCACCATCAAACAGCCCCAAGCCAGCTAGCACTATCACCATCAAACAGCCCCAAGCCAGCTGGCACTATCACCATCAAACAGCCCCAAGCCAGCAGCCACTATCACCATCAAACAGCCCCAAGCCAGCTATCACTATCACCATCAAACAGCCCCAAGCCAGCTATCACCATCAAACAGCCCCAATCCAGCTAGCACTATCACCATCAAACAGCCCCAAGCCAGCAGGCACTATCACCATCAAACAGCCCCAAGCCACAGCACTATCACCATCAAACAGCCCCAGCAGCTAGCACTATCACCATCAAACAGCCCCAAGCCAGCTAGCACTATCACCATCAAACAGCCCAAGCCAGCAGGCACTATCACCATCAAACAGCCCCAAGCCAGCTAGCACTATCACCATCAAACAGCCCCAAGCCAGCTAGCACTATCACCATCAAACAGCCCCAAGCCAGCTAGCACTATCACCATCAAACAGCCCCAAGCCAGCTAGCACTATCACCATCAAACAGCCCCAAGCCAGCAGGCACTATCACCATCAAACAGCTCCAAGCCAGCTAGCACTATCACAATCAAACAGCCCCAAGCCAGCTAGCACTATCACCATCAAACAGCCCCAAGCCAGCTAGCACTATCACCATCAAACAGCCCCAAGCCAGCAGACACTATCACCATCAAACAGCCCCAAGCCAGCTAGCACTATCACCATCAAACAGCCCCAAGCCAGCTGGCACTATCACCATCAAACAGCCCCAAGCCAGCAGGCACTATCACCATCAAACAGCCCCAAGCCAGCTAGCACTATCACCATCAAACAGCCCCAAGCCAGCAGGCACTATCACCATCAAACAGCCCCAAGCCAGCTAGCACTATCACCATCAAACAGCCCCAAGCCAGCAGGCACTATCACCATCAAACAGCCCCAAGCCAGCTAGCACTATCACCATCAAACAGCCCCAAGCCAGCTAGCACTATCACCATCAAACAGCCCCAAGCCAGCTAGCACTATCACCATCAAACAGCCCCAAGCCAGCAGGCACTATCACCATCAAACAGCCCCAAGCCAGCTAGCACTATCACCATCAACAGCCCCAAGCCAGCTAGCACTATCACCATCAAACAGCCCCAAGCCAGCTCACTATCACCATCAAACAGCCCCAAGCCAGCTAGCACTATCACCATCAAACAGCCCCAAGCCAGCTAGCACTATCACCATCAAACAGCCCCAAGCCAGCAAGCACTATCACCATCAAACAGCCCCAAGCCAGCTAGCACTATCACCATCAAACAGCCCCAAGCCACAGCCGGCCGCCACAGGCAGCTCCAACATCCTCAAACTTCGACTCCAGCAGCACGTGGAAAAAAAAGAGACTTTTATATCTTTTTGGTTATTTAAATGGCCAATATGATCGGAAGTTTTCTCAATGGGAGCAATATACTGGGAATTGGGCTGGTTTTAAGTTGCAGTCTAACGAGTCAAGAGGTTCCCCAAACTACCCAAGATAAAGATTATTAGGGTGATTATTATTGGGATTATTATGGGAATTATTTTGGTGATTATTATGCTGATTAAATGAACAAATCCACAAGGGCCTAGATGAGGGTTTTGAACCTGTGCACTATTATCATGGTGATGGTAACTATGGTAACGGTGGTAGCTAGTAATGGTAACGGTGGTAACGACGGTAACGATGGTAGCTAGGTAACTACCTGTTCCCTAGCAGTAAAATAGGTACCTGGGTGTTAGTCAGCTGTCACGGGCTGCTTCCTGGGGGTGGAGGCCTGGTCGAGGACCGGGCCGCGGGGACACTAAAAAAGCCCCGAAATCATCTCAAGATAACCTCAAGATGGTGTTCCTAATTGGTGTATTGTGTATATAACTGTGTATACACAATTGGTTTACTAAAGTGAACTCTTCGGGTATACACACAGAGAAGCAGGGGAGTATATCACCCCCCCTTATATAATTATACCCCCTGATATAATTATACCTCCTGATATAATTATACCTCCTGATATAATTATGCATCACGCACTGAACGTGTTAAAAGACGCAAAAAACAACAACAAATATACTCTTGTAAAAGTGTGTGACACGAGTCAAGGGAATATGGATGTAATTGGTAACTATTTGGTATATAATATTTAATATTTAATATGTAATTGGTATACAATATTTGATGTAATATAATCCTGCATATTTGACCCCCCTGATCCCATGGTTGCATCAGGTTATTTCGCCTTCAATTATCTACAATTTAAAGACTCCGACACGAACTGTGTATTAAGGCATTAATAAAGGTATGAAACATTAACATTAGGACACGCACCCGGACCATTTGGAGACTAATAAATGTGAAACAAAGCACAAAAGGTTTAAACAATAACACGGATGGGTTGAGGGCCAGTGGTTTATAGTTGGTGTTCCGTCTAACCGCTTAGAGCGTTCGGTTTGAGGAATCCCTCCCCCCCCCCCTTCCCTGTTCGGTCTGAGAGCTCTCATTGTTCGGTTTAAGGAATCTTTGAAAGAGTTTTAGTCAGAGAAATATCCCAATTGTTCGGTTTAAGAAATCTCCCACTGTTCGATTTGATGAGTCTCTCACTGTTTGAATTGATGAATCTCCCACTGTTCGATTTGATGAATCTCCCACTGTTCGATCTGAGAAATCTCCCACTGTTCGATCTGAGAAATCTCCCACTGTTCGATCTGAGAAATCTCCCACTGTTCGATCTGAGAAATCCCCACTGTTCGATTTGATGAATCTCCCACTGTTCGATCTGAGAAATCTCCCACTGTTCGATCTGAGAAATCTCCCACTGTTCGATTTGAGAAATCTCCCAAAGTGTTCAGTCTATTGTGTGTCTAAATTCGCTATTTATCTTCCACTGAGTTCAGTCGATGGAATCTCCTACCTGCAATCCTAAAATTGGGGAGCAACTTTAGGGAATAGGGACAAGAGAATGCAACTAAAGGATAGCAGGAAAATTGGAAACTTTAAATGAAGATTATACTAACTTGACGAAAAGATGGGGAAATATGACTGCTAGAAGAGTCTAGTGAGAAATACAAAAATTAGGAAATTGAAAAGCATCAAATCTATAAATTGTCTAACCTTCAGTAATGAGATTTGAAAGAAAAATTTACAGGGAATCATATCCTAAGTCGTATGGGAGGGGAGGGGGGAGAAGGTCTAACTTGATGGGTTAAATCTGGAATGCTAACTTACTAGGGGTCAAAGTTAGGCTTGTCTAACTTCCTCGAGAACTAAGCAGACGGGAAAAAGAGTGTTGCGAGCGATCTTAGTTGTGTTGGTAACACAGGCGACTGCATCATGTATAAAATGAGTGTGTTGATGGGAAAGGGCTTTGAAAACAAGGAATTCAGAGGGGAATGTTGCAAGAGAAAGGAGGGAAGGGCATGTGAGAGGGGGCATGGGAGAGGAGGCATGGGATAGGGGACCATGGGAGAGGGGAGTGTTAAGGGTGGGAGGGGAGGTTGGTTGACTGATGGAAGAGATGGGTGGGTCTGTAGGAAGGGACGGTGGGAGCAGCAGAGGGAAAGGGGAGAGTGAAAATGGATGGACAGGGGAGCTGGAAGAGGCTGGGAGGAAGTTGTGTGGTGTGGTAAGTAGAACAGAAATGGGACGGATGGGAGGGGGTGTGGTTGGTAATGGGACGGATGGGAG